GTTTGGGGTTCGGGTTCGGTGGTTAAGTTAGGGTTTCGGGCCTTAGGGTTTGGGGTTTAAAGTTCAAGGTGTCTAGAGGTTCAGGGGCTTAGGGTTTGGGGTTGAGGGGTAGACATGCAGGCACCCACACGGACACAGCGTTTTTTTGTATTGGATACGTATATATTGTTTTGAGGTTCATAATTATTCCTTTCCGTCTTCAATATGTTCTTTTCACAATACACATGAACTGTGAAGTATAGTTTTGCTACACTCTTTTCAAACCAACACATTATTCTATGTGAAGATTTTTCAGATACTTGTGATTTTTTTGTGTTTTGTTTTATATTGTAGTTTTACTAAGGTCCAGTTGCAACCATTATGTTAATGTTATTTTTCAATGCATTAACATGTTTCAGTTTATTCATATACATTTTTAAGAAGACCGGTATAGGTTTTTACAAAAAGGTATGTAATTCTTTAAAGTTTGGATATGCATTTTTGAAAGATTTTGTTAGATTTGTTTTTAAAATGTTGCTGGATTCTTTTCAAATTTTGGTAGATTTTTTAAAAAATTTGGTATATTTTTTAAAAAAATTTGGTAGATTTTTTTAAAAATTTTTATATTTTTTTAAAAATTTTTTATATTTTTTTTAAAATTTTTATAGATTTTCAACAAAATGGCGATCCAGTTTGAGTCCAGTTTGAGTCCAGTTTGAGTCCAGTTTCATACAAACTGGATCGCCATGGTTGAGTTTCATATGAAACTAAACCATGGTGGTTGAGTTTCATATGAAACTCAACCATGGCGATCCAGTTTGTATGAAACTGGACTCAAACTGGACTCAAACTGGACTCAAACTGGATCGCCATTTTGCTGAAAATCTATAAAAATTTTAAAAAAAATCTAAAAAATTTTAAAAAAATGTAAAAATTTTAAAAAAAAATCTACCAAATTTTTTAAAAAATATACCAAATTTTTTCAAAAATCTAGCAAAATTTTAAAAAAAAATCTACCAAGTTTTTAAGGAAAAAATATAGATTGTTCTGAACAAATGGATCGATGTTTTTGTAAGAACAATATGGAAACTTTAGATGTATTTAAAGCTATAAATCAACTTATCAAGCCCATTTTGCTTAAAAGCCCTGGTCCCCTAAAAAAGGCGCTTTTACAAAACATAAACAATACATCGAATATACATAGGTTATGGAAACTTTATGTATGTATACATGTCTATATATATAAATACATAAATGCAGATATGTCTATGTATCTATACATAGCTAGAACACATTGTAACATACACACTATGTATATACAGACATATACATATATGTCTGTATGTGTATGTATATATACACAAGTGTCTGTGTGGGTGCTGGTATGTTTACATGTAACCCAAACCCCCAGAAAGACCAGAAGCTGAACCCTAAACCCTAAACCGTGCCCCTAAACCCCTGAACTTAGCCCTAAACCCTTAAACCCCCCTAACCCTATAAGCCCCTAAACCCTAACCCCCAAACCTAAACCCAAAACCCAAAGCCCTGGAGCCCCAAAGCCCAAAACCCCTATAAACCCCCTTCTCCCCCGCAGGCCAACACCCACAGAACCCCAACACCTATATAAAATGCTAAAGAGCTTTGACCCACATAAATCCCAAAGCCACAATAAACACTCTGCCCCGGAACCCGAAGCCCCCTGAAACCACCGACCTTCAACCCCAAAATCCCCCAAGCTTACACCATCAAGTATGTCTCCCAAAGAGCTACCAATACAACCCCAAACCCCCAGAAAGCACGAACCCCTAAACCCCTGGACCTGCAAGCTTAAGCCCACAAAGCCAGACTCCTTAACCCACCCTCGCAAACCCGCACCTAGCTGACCCGGGTACCTTTTAGAAGTTTGCTACGTGAAACTATTTAGTCTTATGTTACAAACATGCAAGAAATCTAAGTAGCAGATGTTGCTAAGTCACAAATCTACGTACAACGAATTTTAGGTACAAAGGATCCAGAAGTAACCCACCCCAAGTATCAACCAAAACTATGTAGCAAGCTAAACGGAAGTTTCAGTACATCTAAGTCACATCTAGCAACTTGAAACCGAATCTAAGTCTCATAACAAGGCTAAGTAACGAGCAGAAAATAAAGTTCTATCTAGCAAATTGCAGTAGAACTAAGTCACAACAAGACGACACTTATCTCACAGCGAAAATCTAGTATCTAAGTCACATCTTGGAACTTCGAACCGAATCTATGTCACATATCAAAACTAGGTAGCAGAAAGAATAAGCAGCTTCCTCTAGCATATAGCAGCACGTAACTATGTCACAACTAGGACACGAGGCAATCTAAGTCACAGAGAAAATCTAGGTAGCAAGGAAATTTTCTAAGTTACCAAACAAAGCTTCGTAACAAACTTCTATGTTTCGAGATTTCCTTTTCCAGGTTGCACTGTGTAGTGTGCTTCCTAATAAAAATAAGGCAATCTAAGTCACAGAGAAAATCTAGGTAGCAAGGAAATTTGCTAAGTTACCAAACAAAGCTTCGTAACAAAATTCTATGCTTCGAGCTTTCCTTTTCCAGGTTGCACTTTGTAGTGTGCTTGCTATAAAATAAAGTAACAGACAGAAGAGACCTTTAAGCTCTGACACATGGCAGGGACCCTGCCCATCCGAACATGCGATGCAGCTTTTGGGTGCTCAACACAGCAGCGAGCTGTAGCACCGTAGCCGTGGCCTCAATGGGGGTCATGAAGAAGCCTGCTGCAAAGAAGGCAGCCACTCTGCCGCCAGAGGTGACCGAGGCTTTGGAAGTGGTGCCAGGTGTGGAGCAAGAAGACGACCCGGCCGAGAAGCACGAGGAGGAGGCGGACAAGGAGGCGGACCAAGCAGACCCAGAGGGTGCAGAGGAGGAGGAGAACCTCGAGCCGGACGAGGAGGAGCCAAAGGCACCGTCCAAGCCCAAGGCCAAGGGAAAGGCCAAGGCAAAAGCAAAGGCCAAGGGAAAGGCCAAGGCCAAAGCCAAAACCAAGGCTAAGGCCAAAGCGAAGGCTGCCCCCACAGACAACCAGGAGAACAAGTCCGGGGGTGGCTCGGGGGGTGGCTCTGGGGGTGGAAAAACCTCCAAAAGCCTTGCCGAGAAGGCAAAGGGGTGGGCGGCCCAGTCCGCCACCGAGGACGAAGGCCGCGACCAAGTGAAGGCGAGAAAATATCGCAAGTTGTGTGACTCGGGTGCAATCCCGTCACACATACAAGAGGCGATAGAAAAATCGTCCAGCCGCTCCGGCAAGTCCAAGCTGATCAATGCCCTCTTCGTCAAGGATGGCAACGGCCAGCTCGTGATGAATCCCAAGGACCCGGTCTTCAGCAGCACCAAGACGGCGAGCCACGAGAACTACGGCAAGGACGAGCGACTCGGAAAGCCTCGCCACGTGTTTCTGTGGGAGACGTACCACGGAAACGAGTCCGCACTCCAGCAGGGCATCGACAAGGGTGCCGTGGACTGCTGGACAGTCGGCGGGGTGGAGATGTGCTCTTACCGCACACTCAAGAGTGGCATGGCGAAGAAGGTCTCGGACAACCACAACCTCCACGGCGGCGAGCAAAAGCTGAGCAAGGGCGCCTTCGGCGAGGTGAGTGCCGCCCTGGACGACCTTTCCTTCGACTTCGACGATGCCGGCTCCCATGCCATCTGCGATGTGGCCAGCTCTTCCGCCTCCGGCAGCAAGGCGGCCCAGAAGATGTTGGAGTCTGGAAAGCTCTCTGACAAGCAGCGGGCCGTGCTGGTGGAAGCGAAGGAAGCCGTGGACAAGCTTCACGGTACGGGCATGAAAATGGCCCAGAAGTGCAAGAGTGACGAGGATCGCTTGAACTTCAAGGCGGTTTTGCTCGAGCTTAAGGACTGGAGCCACAAGCAGGAGCATGCCCTCGCCTGGGATGAGCTGCCGTCCGGAGAAGCCATCTCTGAGCAGTCCTTCGCCGCCTTTGTCAAGGAGCAGGCCGCTGCGGTCACGACTTTGAACGAGAAGGTGGAGCAGTTCCGGGCTTTGTTGAAAACCCGCAAGGAGCTCTGAAAGAGCTCCTTTTCTTGGCCGTGTTGCAGACAAGGTGTTGCCTCTGTCTGTGTTTCTAGGTCCCTATAAAATTGAAAAGTTTTCTTCATGCCCCCATTTAATTGAAAGGTTTTCTTCTCATGTGTAAGAATGCTAGACATAGACGATGTAGGCTCTCACAGGGCTTCACAGACAGAGGCTTCTATCTTGCCTGCGGGCTTGTTCTAAGTAGCAAAGCCCCACCAGAGGGCCCGGCTCTAAGTAGCAAATCACCTGCGGCCGCCGGGAAGCAGAGCCCATAGACATCGGGTTTTCTGCATGGCCTTGTGCAGGTGTGCAGCTGCTGAGCGCTAGGGCCCCTCTCTGCCCCAGGCACCGAGAATAGTTCCACGAAGGCGGCTTCCTCGCAAAAAAGCTCTCACGACTCGTGTGAGGACCAGCAGCATGCAGCCGGTGATGTGCAGAATCTTGCAAGTCTTCAGCCTAAACCCCTCTGGAGCCACCTCCCAGTGAACTTTTCCTTTGCACAGCTTCTTTCTGGCCCTGCGGTAGAAAAAACCTAGGCAGGCTCACAACAGAAACATCCATTTGTGTATTCCTTTTTCTAATGCCCAATGGCCCTCAAATCTTGGGTGAAGATCCACATTTCGGTCTCTCTAATGGCCCCACAGATTCCCGGTGCACGGCTGCTACACAAGGTCTATAGGAAAACCGAGGCACAACACCCGTGAAGATCTATTCCTCTTTCTAAGGGCCCCGTCCCCGCAATCACAGTTTTCTGAGTAACACAATGGTCTCTTTAATGGCCCCACAGACGGCCGCTAGACAAGGTTTATAGGAAAACCGAAGCACCACACCCATGAAGATTTATTCCTCTTTCTAAGGGCCCCGTCCCTTCAATCAGAGTTCTCTATAAGTAGCAAAAAAGGGCCTTCTCTCTACGTAGCAATGACACCTCCCTGCAGCCATGGACGGCGAAGCAGAAGCTGCTCCCAAAAGACGACGAGTAGTGGTGGGTCAGAGACAGCGACTTGCCGCCGCCGAAGCTCAGCAGGACCAGCCGTCTGTTTCTGAAAGTTTTTTGGCCAAGGACCTGAAGGAAAGATGGTCTTGGGGCGATTTGTCTGTCCAGGCCATGCAGGCACTGGCTGCGAAGGCTGTCAAAGACTTCGAGAATTGTGGAGCAAAGGCCCCAACGGAGTTGCAAGCTCTGGCGAAGCTGGGTTCAGGCGGCATCCACCCTAACAACATGAGACGTGAGATCATGAAAATTACAGAAGTTGGTTGCAGATTGCCGCCTTTGCAGCGGACTGCTCTACAGTTCAAGCAGCCCTGGGGAAATCAGCCCCAGCTCATGATGCTGCCTCATGAGATGTTCTCCGCCTTGTACGAGAATTACCACGAAGCTTTCAAGCGGTACGTGGTGGCCGATGCGAATGTCTTGCAGGAGTTCTGGCGGCTACAGAAGAAGCACCCGCAGTTCAAAGACCACCCTGTGGTAAGCCAGGCTTCCTTTGAGCCTCGAAAGTTCGTGCCGCTTTCTTTACACGGCGATGGAACACCTGCAATAGGTGTCGGGAAGATATGGAGCCGAATGTTAACCACCTGGAGCTGGTGTAGCCTGGTTGGTGGTCCTGCCTGGACCAAGGATTCGCAACTGCCCATTTATTTCCTCTTCGATGAAACAGATGACGGCACAGCAGCGACTACCTTCCTCAGCATGCTGGCCTGGAGCTTCAAGGTGCTGCAAGAAGGTCTTTGGCCCTTTGCAGACCACAAGGGCAACCTGCACCCGGGATTGCATCATTATCTTTCTGGTTGGGGTCAAATCGGATAAAACTCATTCTCTTTCTAACAGAAGTAGAAACACGTCGCATAAGAGCTGAATGCCTTTTCTTTTCTTTATAAGTAAAAAGCCCAAGTCGAATGTGTAAAGGACGAAAGTTTCTATGTAGCAGCGAAACACTAGCGATAACCTCTTGTTTTTCTGTCTTATAAGCAACAAAATGGAATCCTAATCTCTTTCATGAGTCACAGGCAAGATGTGCTATCCAAAGTCTACTCACACATAAGCAAAGCTTCGCTCTAAGTAGCAAGAAACTTTAAGTAGCAACTTTTGGTGGCAGACAATGGACTGTTCGAAGTAACACTTTTCTGTCAGCTTTCACACTGTCAGAGGTACCCGCCCACGAGCGACCTGGGCCGTAAGGCAGGATCGCCCTTGGCGGGGGGGTGGAAAGGCGTCATCTGGGCATTGGTCGGCGATCTTGAGTATATGGTCTCAAGATTGAACATGCCACATTTTGGCCAAAAGCACAACCCGTGCGGCCTTTGCAAATGCTCGGGCGACGAGACTTCCACCTCCTGGAGGAATTGCAAACCGACAGCGCCATGGCTCAGCATGCAATGGTCTTTGGCAGAGTGGCGGTCTTTTCCGGACCGCCCGAAAAACCCGCTGTTCGACAGCGGAGTATGCTCTGCACTCAGTTGCCACATGGACTACATGCACACGAAGTACTTGGGGCTGGATCCTCTGGGATTCGGGAGTGTGCTGAGCTTGCTCGTCAACTTCGTGTTGCCCGACTCACCTCTCGCGAATTTGCGATGTGTGTGGGAGCACCTGCTCAGCTCCTACAAAGCCTTGAAAATCGTGGAAAGGTTCAGGGGCATGAGAAAGCTCAGTCTTTTTCAGAGGAAGAAGCTCCCGCCGAAACTCAAGGGGAGAGCCATGCAGATCCAGGCTCTGGGGGAACCACTACTCCTCTGCTGGCAGAATTTCATGAACAAAGACCTCGAAATTCACCTCAAGATCGAGAACTACTTGAAGGTGAATCTAGCCCTCGAGAAGATCCTGCATGCTACGAGGACGGAGATGGCCATGCCTCCAGACCATGCGGAGAAGTTCAAGAAATTGGCTTTCGGGCTCTGCCAGCTGCACCGACAGCTGCGGGAACACTTTGAAGGAAACTACTTCGCAGACCTCCCGAAGATGCATTTCTTCTTGCATGCCTGCCTTTTGGCAGATGTGCTGCATCCCCGGCTCACATGGTGCTTCAAAGGAGAGGATCTTCAGAAGATCTCTCGAACCTTGGCTGGCTCCTGCTGCCGGGCTGTGACCGGCCCTCGGGCTGCGGCAAAAATGTCGCAGCAGCTCCGCATAGCTTGGCACTTGCGGCTGGACAGGCTTTGTGGAGAGTGAGGAAAAAATGTCCTCGCGAGTCAATGCTGTGGGTTTAGGGCTCCTAGATTTTCAGGTCCAAGGTATAGGGTCTAGGGCAAACTTTTCACGAGTGTTTAATGGACCGTGCTGATTTCCTCGGTATCAAACGAGTTAACATTTCAAGAAAATCTTTCAACACGGATCGGTTTTCAACACATTTCCCTATTCGCACACGTGTTTTTTCTAAGCAAGACTGACTTTGTTCTGTATGGATTTCCGATGATTTTTTGGTTTCCAACATATGCGAAAATATCCTATATTCTACCATATAACCTGTTTTTGCATAGTCTATTTACCAAATAACCGGAAAAATAGACTATGAAACAAGAGCGAAATAGTCTATTTAAAATAGTATATTTCCAGGTAAAATAAACTATTTTGCCAAATAGGATATATGTCCCAAAATAGCCTAACCTGATCTTAGAGGAGAACGAGAACGAGGCCTACGTCAGCAGCTACGTTGGAGGAGAAGATCCCGGGGAGTACCCCGATGAAGGAACAGCAGCAGCAGCAGAGGAAGAAGAAAGTGAGGAAGCAAAGGAAGAGAGAAGGAAGAAGAAGATCGCGGAGATCAACGCCAGAAGCAAGCAAAGGCTCAAGGAAAAGGAAGAGGAGAAGAAGCTTTTTCCGTACCCCTACGACTACGCCAGCGAATGGAAGGAATACTCCGAGAACGGCGAGATCTACAGGCAACACAGAGTTACAGGAGAAAAGCAGTGGGTCGACAAGGACTACACGTACAAGCACGAGAAGGGAACAAAAGGAAAGAAGGAAGGAAAAGGAAAAGGAAAGCCAAAGGCAAGAGCAGAAAGCACAGGATTTCGACCTCGAGATGAAGATGATCGCAAATACTGGGCAGAACAGGACAGGATCTCAAAGGAACAAAGAGAAGCAAAAGCAAAAGCAGAAGAGGAGAAGAAGGCAAAAGAGGAGCAGATTGCCAAAGCAAGGTTGATTCTGGAAGCGGCAGCAGACGAGCAGGAGAAGAGAGACAAGGAAGCAGCAAGGCAGGAAGCAGCCGCAGCCGCCGAGAGAAGGCGAGAGGTAGAAGCAGCAGCCAAAGCCAAAGCAGAGAGAGAAGCAAAGGAAAAGGAGGAGACCGAAGCGGCAGCAGCAAAGGAGGAAGAAGAGAAAGCAGCAGCCGCAGCAGCCAAAGAGGAAAAGGAAAGAAAGGAGCAGGAGAAGAAAAGAAAGGAGAAGGAAGCCAGGAAGAAAAGAGAGGAAGATCAAAAGGCAGCGTCAGCGTACATTGCCAAGAAGGAAGCAGAAAAGAAGGCAGCAGCAACAACAGCAACAGGATCAGGTGAAGCAGACAGGATCCAGAAGCTTGAAGAAATGATGAAGGAGATGATGAAGGAACGCAAAGAGGATAAAGAAAGGATTGCAAGCCTTACACAGGAGCTTGAGAGCAGAGGATCAGCAGCCGGGTCGCAGGCACCCACAGAACCTGACACAACACCAGCAAAGGAAGAGGAAAAGCCAGAAGGAAAAGGAACAGGAAAAGCAACAGGAAAGGAGCCACCGAACGTCACACAGCACAAGCAGAAGGAAGAAGACAAGGACGACCCAGAACTGTCCGCCAAAGGACCAGTGAACGAAGCATCGTTCATGAAAGGAAAAGGAAAAGGAGAGTTTGAAGGAAACTGGTTTGCAGTCTACAGTTTCCAGAACAGGAAATACCAGTGGAAGTGGAACGAGTCCAAGGCACAGTGGTACTGGTATTCAGGATCAAAGGAAACAGGTTGGAAAGCAGCGTCAAAGGACAAGCAAGGAAAAGAGAAGTGCAAAGCGCAAGCAAAGATGAAAGAAGAGTGGCTAAAGGAACAGCTTCAAGACCAAGAGGAAGCTAAAGACAGTGAAGAGGAAGGCAAAGTGAACTTCCAGTGAAGCAAAGGAACCGCGAGCAGTACTGAGGCCAGAGAGCCGAGGAAAGAAGCAGCAGGACACAGGAACCGTGGCACAGCCCTTTTTGTTTCTGTGGTGATCTAGGTAAAGTGCAGGAACGTCTTTTGTACAGTCGAGCAACCTTGGAGAGGATTGCGAGTGAACGTGCGCATACGTTTGCAATGAGGAACAGTGTTTGTTTTGCAAGTGAAAAGGAACTGCAGCGTGTTTACTGTTTGTTCAGGAAAAGTCGGAGTCACCTCAGTCGAGGAACTTTCGCTAACTCCGAAGGCGGGGTGTTAAACATTCTGCCAGGAACAGTAACACAGCTAGTGCAGTACAGTTAATGTACAGGAACAGCCGTCACGCACACGCGACGTGCAGGCTCGAGACCCCAGGACACACCGTGCCCAGGAACAAAAGTGTCCGACAGTCTTTGTGGGTAGGAACCCTTAGTGAAGCCCGTTCTTTAACATGTCATCGTACGCCCAGGATGTCTTGGCCTTTGCCTCCATGTTCTTGAACAAATGCGGGTTCCTGTCAGCGGTACCAAGATCTGCTCCGATAGGCATTGCTGCGCAGACCTTCGCATCCGTGGAGGAGAGGAACGAGATGATGCTCCAAAACAGTTTCCTCCGCGAGCGCTTCACCGAGGAGTATGAAAACAAGCTGTACAAGTGCGGCGTGCGGCTTGCTGTCTTCAACCAAGCCCTGCGGCAACTTGGCTCAGTATTTTGTGCCGTTCCGTTATGATTAAATTATTTATTAATAGATAAAAATCCAAGGCGGTCGGAGGTGATGACCAACACTGCCCGGATGGATCCCGGGTTTGGGCACTTCATTACGCCACTCCCTGCCGACGGCCTTGAGATGGCGGCGCTGTACGGATCCAAGTCTTTGTGGGCGACCGATCAAGGCTATTTCTACTCCATCGGCCTGATCCCAGCGACGGTTTGCGCATCGAAGAAGTTCGTGACGGAGACGAAGATGCCGTTCTGTGAGGTGATCAAGGGCGATCTGGACGAGACCATGGAGGACTTCCGCTTCTCGAAGAAGAGGGAGGTGACGTTCGCCTACCTGGGCGATGGGGACGACTTCGGGCTCTTCTTGGATGGCTACACTCTGGCGCCTGGGCGATTTTAAATAAAATAGTTTAGTATTAACTTGACTGATAACCTTCCATCCCAGGAACGCGTGATCCTGTGGAAGCGGGTGCCCTTGGTGATGAAGTTTCAGCGGCACCTGGATGCCATTGGCAGGCCGTACACGGTCACCCTCTGCCGGTGCGGTAAATGGGGGCGACAGGTCGACTTGGCCATGAAATATTCAGGCACCAGGAACCCTGATCAGTGAAGCCTGCTGACTGTTTCATTGCTGGCTGGCTTTGTTTTGCACAGGCGATCCCCAGGCCCCTAGGCTCCTAGGTTCTAAGGCTGGGATGTCTTGAGGAGCCATGATTTATATTAATGACAATAATACAAAAGTGATATGATTCATGTGTAAATGTATTATAGCTTTGTTTCACTCAAGTTCAAGGTTCCAAGGCTCCCAGGCTCCCAAGGCTCCTAGGCTTAGGATCTTGGCCGAACGCACAGAGGGACAAGCAGCTTGTGCCCAATGATTTCATGAGCCAGCCAGCCACGACGGAATCCTGGCATTGTCCAGCTTGCCAGAATCCTGGCATGTGCAGAGCAACGTCAAGTCTAGTGATGTTGCCTGCCCCTCCAGCAGTGTGGCCGACAGCGAGCACACATGGAAAAAAAGTAAGTGCTTTCTTCAGTCAGCTTGTCAAGTAACACCCCCCAGCCCGATAAACACCAGAACCCCCCCCCCCCGGCGGCAGGCGATCTTCATCCCGGCCCGGCTTGCGTGCTCAGGCCAGCCAGGATTGGTTTGTAAGGACTTAGGGTTTAGGGTTTGTAAGGATTTAGGGTTTAGGGTTTGTAAGGACTTAGGGTTTGTAAGGACTTAGGGTTTAGGGTTTGTAAGGATTTAGGGGTTTAGGGTTTGTAAGGATTTAGGGTTTAGGGTGTGGCTTTAGGGCTTAAACACTCGCAAGGGTTTATCCCTAAACCCTTAACCCTAGGCCCTAAACCCTAAAGCCCAAACCCTAAATCCTTACAAACCCTAAACCCCTAAATCCTTACAAACCCTAAACCCTAAGTCCTTACAAACCCTAAACCCTAAATCCTTGCAAACCCTGAACCCTAAATCCTTACAAACCCTTAACCCTAAGTCCTTACAAACCCGAACCCTAAATCCTTACAAACCCTAAACCCCTAAATCCTTACAAACCCTAATAAAACCCTAAACCCTGAACCCTAAGTCCTTACAAACCCTAAACCCTAAATCCTTGCAAACCCTGAACCCTAAATCCTTACAAACCCTAAACCCTAAACCCTAAGGCTTAAATCCTCACAAACCTCCCAGCCCAAACAATCATACCACTAATGTGCATCCAAGGGTGGCTTCAACTTAGTCTAAGTTGAAGCCACCCTTGGATGCACACAAAACACCCTTGGAAGGCCTGCTCGGCGGCATCTGCGCATCCAAGGGTGCCGGAGGCGCATCGAAGGGTCCTGCGGTCGTATGGTATTTAAGTAAGGATTTAGGGTTTAGGGTTTGTAAGGATTTAGGGTTTAGGGTTTGTAAGGACTTAGGGTTTAGGGTTTGTAAGGACTTAGGGTTTAGGGTTTGTAAGGACTTAGGGTTTAGGGCTTGTAAGGATTTAGGGTTTGGGCTTTAGGGTTTAGGGCCTAGGGTTAAGGGTTTAGGGATAAACCCTTGCGAGTGTTTAAGCCCTAAAGCCACACCCTAAACCCTAAATCCTTACAAACCCTAAACCCCTAAATCCTTACAAACCCTAAACCCTGTTGCTTCGGAGTTGCCCTGCAACCCTTAGCCCCGAAACCCTTAACCCTAATCCCCTCAACCCTAAACCCCTCTGCCATCGCATCAAAAAAACCCTAAACCCCTGTAAAGCCTGAACCCTAAACCCCTAAACCCCTAAACCCCTAAACCCTAAACCCTAAACCCCTAAACCCCTAAACCCCCTAAACCCCCTAAACCCCTAAACCCCTAAACCCCTAAAACCC